ACAAGGAGCCGCAGCTCGTGCTGCCATCGCGTGAGGAGCCATCACCTGGGGGACGGCTTGGGCAGCTGGGGTCCCTGCCTGCCCAGAGGCCCTTGGTACTCCAGGTCCTGTTTGAGTCTCACTGGCTCCTTGGTCAACCATTACACACTCATTCACTATAAAACCCAATTTGCATTTTGGCCCAGAGGAACAGTGCACCGCCTGTGATTCCCTGTGCAGGACGCCCTTTCCAAGCTGGCCTTTTGGGGGCCTTTGAACGGGAGGTACGATGACCGAGGCACTACACCACATATGCACAACCAGCCTCTGCTACAGACACCCGGCACTAGGCTTGGGCCAATCTCATGAGTTTCTTTAGGTTCAGTTTGGGGGATCATGGTTTCACCTCCTCTATGTGCTGGACGTTGGGACTGATTCTCGTTATGGCTATGCACAGCATAAACTAACTCCTGCAATAACAATGAATAAAAGATAAGTCCCATGGCTCTGAATCTATCTATGTCTAATGGTTGTTTTGTGCGGTTGGGGATTAGAGAGACAGCCTGATACATCTGGCTGCTGAACATCATTTGCTGTTTACCTTTGCTGGAGGAGGACTCAGAACTAGGGCTATAAACTCTTGCAGAGTTAGGGAATAGCAGATGAACAAAGCGAGGAGAGAAGACACAGCTTCACTGGAAACCTTGTAAACCACTGACTGCAGTAAAAGTCAAGGCAGGAAATAAAAGCTGTCAGTTCAGAAAGCCATAAAAAACACCATCTCTTCTTTATCTAGCTTCCCTGACTGTGGTTGAAACAAAGATTTTTTTTTTTTTTTTTTTTTCCCCAGGAGGTGTTTCAGAGTCCTCCTTTGTGGCTCACAAACTATTACACTGCGGAGAGAATATAGTTCTGGGACAAAGCATCTGCTCTGTAACGAGCTCCTAAGGGGATGCACCACGTAGCATGTTTCTGAGTCATTCCAACATTCCTGAAGAAGGTTTTCCTACTGTGTAGCCACAATTTAACTGCTACCTAGGTGGGCTATGATGCAAACCTCTACTTCTCTCTGCAAAGTGACCTGCTGCAATAACCACTTGAGTGGATGTAGCAAGCAGCTGCTGAGAAGCCTTCACGGGCCACAACACATGGAAGTACTGAGGTAGGGGTGTGCATCACACACATACTTGCAAATTGTGTGCAACCAAGGCAAGTTTTATTTTACATGAAAAAGTAACACAACACTTTGAGGGAGGAGGAGACAGGCAAAATATCTCTCAGACTGCAAGGCTTCCTCAGCACCCAGGCTCCAGTGCCCCAGATCTTACTGAAGATGTAAGAACAGTGAAACGGTTGGAGACCACATTTCTCTTTACTGAAAGATTTATGCAAAGTTGTGTGCACGGTGCATGTGGCTGTAGGCACCTGGCAGAAAGCTCAACATGCAGAACTCTACCATGGCTTACCCCCTGCAAGGGGTTGGATGTGAGAGCTCCCCTGCAGTATGGGAGAGCCTACTTTAGAGATTAGACTAAAGCTGGATTTTTCAAAATCTCCCAAGTCCAGTAGGCCACAGAGTTAAGGTGAGATACTAAGTAAGAAGTCATGGGGAGAAGCTGTAGGCGTGCTAATTAAAGTATGAGAATGAACCTGCCTTCCTGAGCTGATACTCAAAAATGGAAGCTGAAGATCTGAGGCTGAAGCTCTCCCTGACCCCCATTTCTCCTCTGGCAGTCATTTGAAAGCTCACATAACTGCAGAGATGACTCAGACTTTTCAGAACAGAACTTTAAACTTAGATCCAAAGTCTGCAGAGCCTCCCAGGGAGGCTGTTCACACCTGGACGGTGTAGCTGCACAAATCCCGCCATGCCCACAGAGGTTAGGTTTTGACTAGCTGCTCTTCATGCTGCCTTCACTTCTAGGGGGGATCAGATATTGATATGATGTTCACACTTGCTGAGGCAGAGGAGCCTGCAGATTTCATCAATTTAGCTGCCTGCTCAACTCCTTAGCACTTGCGTGGGTTCTGCTATGAGAAATCGATGATGAACTCCCATTGCTTCCAATAGGAGCAAACTAGGAACAAAATAAAGCACAACAGTAGCCTTTTAAGCAAGCTTTTAGCCAGCTCCCCAAGGATGCAGCCAGACATGCTGTCTATGCCAGATCAGCTTCAAAGCCGTTATCTGAGAGTGCTCAGGGCAGCCACAAATAGTCTGAGCTAATAAAAGAGCATCTTCCACAGCTGAGGGGCAAACTTCTGCCTACTCCTGACTATAAGAAGATGCTGGGGCTCTTCCAAGTGCGTCCTTCTGCTTTTGAGCATCAGGCGGGACTTTCAAGGACCGATGCAGATCAAGCCTTGCACATCCCATTCACTTTGTTCAGAAACTATTGCAGAACCCATCATGGTGCCTCTTGGAAAGCCGTGGTCTTCTGTGCGAGAAGCCCAGCACAGACTGGCATCCAGTTCCAGCTCTGCTACCTGCGCTGTGCAAGGCACTTGGTGTATCTGTACCTCTGATTCCTTCCCTACCATTTGAATAACTTTGCCATTGAGTCGTTCAGGAATTGCTTCTTACTTTGGGTTTTCACTGTGATTAGTACAAGGGGCTTTTGATCGAAGCCAGAGATTCAGGATGCTAGCTTAGAACACACTGCATTAGAATAAAAAGGGTTTGCGTACGACGAGATGACAGACTGAATTGATCTGATAAAAGGCTCTTAAGTCATTAATTCAAGTCATGCAAGATTAAGAAACGTTTCAGCAATAACAGAAACTGTGTTAAGGCCTTACTGATTTCAAAGAACTCCTTCTTAATTGGCTCCACAAAATATTGTTCCTTTTGGCTTTTTGTTGTAACAGAGGGATACTAGGACATTTATGCTTTCAAAGTCACCAGTGGCTCCCAAACAAGATTTTCAGGGCTGTGCTGTGTTTACTTTCGTAATAGGAAGGCCTTCTAGGGACTCTCACATTCAGTCCATCTTTCCACACCAGCAAATGAGCATCAGCTGATTTTTTAAGCTTTCACAGATCTTCCACCCGGCCCAAGGGGACAGGAGAAGAGACTGAGCATCACTAGGGATACATTAGCAATATGAAGCTGTGATACCTGCATGCATGAGCCTAACAGATTAAGTCCTTGTTTTGATCTGGGGTCCTTTGTTAAGCTCTGCTTCCTCAGAGGACACAAGCCCAGAAGGAATGGTCTGCAAGAGTGGTTTGCCCTCCTCATCCATTCCTGTGCTGCCCTATTGCATCTCTGGGAGATCTGACATGCACCCCATGGGAGCAGTCATGCTCACAGCATGGGGCCACCGGTCCCTCAGTGGGAGGCATATGGGAGGAACATCTCCATGAGCAAGCAAATGGATAGAAACAGCTGCTTGCTGGTTTTGTCACTTCTTGCCACAGGTTTAATACTGCCTATTGCAAGCCACCATCAGAGCAAGGGACTTGGCTAACACGAGTTTTTATTGGTAGGAAGACCGTTTGTTTAGCCTCCAGGCCAGGCAATGTCGTGGCTGAAGTTCAAACCCCACAGAGCAGCACCTTACCTGCTGATCTTCATTTCAAAACCCACCGCATCCATTTGCATTTCCTCTTTCAGCTCTATCCCATAGCGCACAAAGACACAGACCTTCCCTCTCGAAACAACTGGCTGCCAGCCTCCTGCTGCAATGCGTCTTTCCTTTGCACTGAAATCCGTTACAGAACATCCTCTTAGCTTCTAGAAACACTAAGAGCCTTTTTATGTCAAGGAGTTAAATCTTGTTACTCAGCTGGTATTAATTTCCATCTTTTAACACCAAAGGTTTTGATCTCTTTTAAAAAAATTATGCAGCAAAGCTAAATCATTCTTGTCTTCTCCCTTCCAGACAAGGAAGAAGAGAAAATACAAAGGGTTGCAATGTTTTGCTGGCTCGATCATCTTAACTATCTTGGTAGAGGCTTGTGAAATTCTTAGAGAATATTCTGTTCCTGGGGAGTGAGACTGCTTTTTGTGCTCCAAAAGGGATGTCACAGTGGGATAGATGTTGGCTCTGAGCCAGGACCTTATAGGTAGGAATCAAAACAAAGACTAAGATGATGAGCATTTAATACTGAGGCTCTGGCCCTAGCCAAGCCCATGGCTGGGTGGCCAGTATCACTCAGCTCCAACACCTACAATTTATTGGCCACCCTTTTTCTCTACCACCCCTAGTCTGGACCACCTCTTAGCTTATCTGGCTTCTCCTCTTCACAGTTTCATGAAATAACAGGCCTAGCTGATCGACATGTTTAAAAGTCATCCCTTTGGTCACACGAGCACAGCACTGCCACAGATACATTGCAAATGCTGGACTTGAAATTCCTTTCATAGTGACCAATTAATGAACAAGTCAGCTGGAGAAGGAAATAAAAAATAAATAAATGCTCCTTTCAGAAGGGTTAATGGTGGGTTGGAAACCACACAGACTAAAGTAAACGTTTACCAAAGGCTGCAACAGATTGTGCGGTCACTGCAATTGTGCAACCCGTCACTGGTATCACTCTGCTCAGGGCTGAAGCACCCTGGAGTGACTGGGAGAGCCCTGGGGAGCCGAACAGCCACACCATGCGTGCTGCTGCCCCGAAGGGAGATGGGGCTGCATACTCTTGCAGCGATCTCCCCATCATCCCGCCGCAATGGTGCAGGAGATGATGGAGAGGTCTGGGAGAGCGTGGGCTGCCTTCCCCTGGCACGGAGCTGGGCTGGGGGCTGCTCCCAGCTGCTGACTGGTGTTGGGGCTTCGGCACCCACCGACGACCAGTCAGCCACCCTCCCAAAGCACGTACGTAGCAGACACGAGGTCCTGAGCACCAACACTTCACAGAATGTTCCATGCAGGAGTTCAGCCAGGTTTGGATGAGGCTTTATTTCATTTGAAAGGGAACAGCACAGGGTATTCCAGGCACTCGGTGTTATCTCTGTGTGTGCTTCACTCCTGCTTTCCTTATAAAGCGCAAAGCCATTTCTTCTTTTAAAGCACTGATCATTTTGTGGTTTTCACATTTTTGATCTCCTGGAGCAAGTCAGACATTAGAGTGAGACTGACTAACAAGATCATAAAATCTTCAAAATCAATTTTGTTCTCTGACTCCTCATCCAGGGCAGAAATTATTTCCTGGTATTTTGGTTTGTTTTCTTGCCCCTGTAGAGAATTTTAAATGGGAAAAAAAAAAAAAAAGTTAAACATGAAGTTCCTTTATTGCACCATTTAAAAAAAGACATACCTATGTAAAAATTCATGTATTTTCTGTTTTCCCATTCAGGTTTTTATTTCCACATTCATATTAGTTTTTCTATAGGTATCCCAAGAAACAGAAACTCAAACAGAAATATTATTGCAAGAGGGCAGGAGAACAACCAGTCCCCAAAGTTTCCCCCTAAATCCAGAATACATCTTTTAAAAGATACCTAATCATGACTGAAGATCTGGCAGTGACTAACGTAGCTGGTAACTGCTGGAAAAAAAAATCTGCAAGAAGTTTGCAGTCAGAAGTATTGATACAGCTGTTTTTCACCCTACCTGGCTGCCACCGATACGCGGGGTGGGTGATCGATGGAGAGCTGCTTTCTGCTCCCTTTCTCCCAAGGGCCCAGCAGCGCCCGCAGCTCTGCACAACAGGGCTGGCTCTCCTGGTACTGGGTCAGTGCTCTGGCAAACTACCAAACAACTAACAAAATGCAATGGGTTTCTTCTCTCTACAAACACCGTCTCTTGTCACTTCGTTTGGTGGTTTGGTTTATTTTTTTTTTTTTGGCAGTTGCCCTACTTCGTTAACAAAAATGCAAGCAGGCACGTCAACAGTGGTTTATTGCTGTCCCCTCTCCTTTAGCCCTCAACACAAAGCAACTAATTCACTGAAGATGTCTGTACCAACTGAAGTCTCACTTGGGATTTCCCCGTGGACTGATGCCTGCCCGAGCTGCCATTCCTGCACCCAAAGTGCCCGGCCAGTGCCGGCCCAGCGTCACCCGCCTGCCCAAACCCCCTCACCTGTATGAAACCCCAAAACTGGGTTTGCAGCAGACTTTTGGTTTCAGCTTTGCTGAGCTTGCCCTCAGGGTCAGCAGCGTTGTTATACACCAAGGCTGCAGTAGCAAAAGCTTTTTCAAGATCTGAGCCTTTTCCTAGAGCTGGGGAGTGGAAAAAAAGTTATCAGCCTATCAGAAAAAGTAGCATTTGAGATATAATTGAAAGGAATCTGTCAGAACCATCCTGAGTGGGTGGAAATCTGTGTAGTTTCATTAATGTTAATGAGACTGAAGCTGTCTTATACCCACAGAGGACCTGGCCCAGATTTTATTTGGAGTGGGCCAGCAACATGCCTCACGTCCCATGGAAACACACCCCGAAAGGAAGCTTTCGGTCGGAGCTGGGGCAGGGTAACACGTGAGACCCATCTGGTCTGCTCCCACCCCGGGCATCCAGCAAGAACCTGCCCCACCACGGGTACAGGCAACGCCAGCCATCTCATGGGTGCGTTTGGACTCCCAGGATCCTGTATCAGGGAAAACGTGGCCCGTTTGGAAAGCCTGGCTGAACAGAAATGCCCGTGTCGGAGCATCAGCGCTGCGCTTCAGCAGTACGGTACGCTTGGGATTTTGGCTGGATTCATTCCCCTCACTCCTGAGCCACATCCTAAAGGCTGCACGCTCACAGCCCTCAGTTAGCATCAGGTACCACGATGATTTGGGGTATGATTTTAACAGAAAGGCAAGCAGCGGAGGGGATGCAGATTAACACGAGAGCACGTTGCACAGGGACACACGAGACCTCCTCATCTTGCACGGGCCGGGGGGCTGCACAGCCTGCGCAGCTCTGCTAAATCACCAGGGTTTACTGCACTCGGGCTGTGACCTTGGAAGACCTGAACCCCCAAGGGGTAACGAATGGGTCCCCTTACCTTTTATTGATGCCAGCTGCTTGGCTATAGGTATGCTGGTAGGGAGAGAGAAGAGAGGCACTGTTATCACCTGGAGAATTGTGCGTGTACATATCCTTTCTCCATGAGTGAGCTTGCTCATTTCTGTCTCATTTAATCCCCCAGGAGCTCAGGGCTTCCCAAAGGACACTGACTTTCCTTCACAGCAGAAAGGAAAGTGGCCTTTACAAGCAGCACACAACATCACACAGCTCCTAATTCTTCACCTAAGCAAGTAGCCTGGAGTTGTTATTAAAGGTGCTTATTAAATAATTTTAAGAGAGGGGCATTGCAACATCCTTCAAGTCATTTCTTCAGAAGATGAAAGAGCTCCAGAAAATTTCTCAGTTTTAAGCCCATCCCTGGGGAACTACAGCAGGGTCTGTCATCCCCTGCTCACCAGTGCTCCCAGTTTGGAGCAGACACATAGCTTTTACTTCCAGCAGGACTCACATCTGTGAGAAGCATCTCTCTGCTTTCTATAAAAACTTAAAGCCTGCTTACTTTTGCTGAAGTGCTGGAAACTAATTACAAAGCAGCCAAAACTCAGCAGAAGAGATTGCTTGTGATAAAGACAAATACATCCAGGTAATGAATTTCAAGACAAATGGCACATCACCGGAGATGCAAAGACCAAAATGATGACTTACCGCTTGGGCATGCCTGCTGCAGCCAAAGGGCTTTTTTTGGTGGAAGCAGGAGCCGGCTGATTGACTGAGTATTGCTTCGTGCTGGGAACACTTGCTCTGCAGCCACACATCTCGAGGCTGGGGTGTTTGTGATCTCTAAGCAACTCGAGTAATAGCAAACAGGTGAATTCAAGCTCTGCCCTGTGCAAGCAGCCTGCTTGCAGCCATGCCCTGTCAATAATGTATACCTGGTGATCATGGAGCTGGCTAAATATATCAGGCTAAAGCAGCCCCTGTAAGGCAGCATGCTGGGATGGCAAGTAGCGTGGCTTTTATCTTATGTGAGAATTTGAAAGAAACAAACCAAACTAATGGAGCCTGAATCCTCTTAGATCTGTAGGAATGTAACTTTGCCATCAGGAATAACTAAGACACTGACTCCATTCAGCTATAGGCATTATCATTTTAATTTCTAGCATGGGCTAATGTAACTTGTCCCAAGCCATAAACTGTTCCTGTAGACAGAGTCAGAAACCAAGCATTTCCCAACTCCTGACCCAGCATTTATCCTAGGTGAGCATGCTCCTGCTCTAATATTTATTCCCCCAGTGCAGTGCAAAGAGGAGAGCTGTTCTTCCTCTGAACAAGCACGGAGTCTCTGCTTCGGTTTCTGCGCAAATGGATACTGCCTGCTTCCAAAAGCAGCACGGAGCCATATGGCAGAGCAGTCGCACGTTAGAGGAACTGGAAGGGCTCCGATGAACTTTGTTATTTATTGGCATGGATATTGCTATTAGAAAACACACAGCTTGTCACACTGCCGATCTCTGTGCATGGTCTCCTTTCTGTGGGTCCTTTGCCTAGAGGTGTCCAGACAGGATAACTTTGACCTAAAAGACCAAGTGGCCGTTTTAATCCCATGGTGGTCTGTTAATAGATAGCGAGTGACTTCAGCTACCTCATCCAGCTCATCATTCCTGGTGAGAAGATACAATACTGATGTTAAAACTACCCAGAATGAGACTTTATGTAACAGGACACGCAAAGGAAGACTGCAACAGATGGCCTAGAGAATTAAAATGTTTTCCTCATTTAGCAGAAGCTAAATTACTGAAGGCTAATGAATAAGGATGTTCACCACCTTACTGTTCCTGGATTTTAATTATCTTAAAAAGCATGGGAAAAGAGAACCTTTAATTTTCCATCTAAGAGTGTCATTACTCAAACAATTCAGAGCCTTTTTCTGAGAGGTTTAAGCTGTCTTAGATCTCTAGTGCGTTCTTTAGGACTGGCTCATGAATAAAACAGAGCCTGTAATTGCAATGACGCAGCCAAAACACATATAATCAATGCTCATTATCCCATCAATTAACACACTAAAATTAAACAAGAATTCAGGCTTAGTAATCTGCCATCAACTAAAAAAAAAAAAAAAAAGAGTCTTGATATCATGTTGAAGTGATAATTCCCTTTCACATCTGTTGAACCATACAACAAGGCATGAAAAGCCTTACATCCCGGTTAATCCGCAGACTGGTAATGTTTGGTCTTAGCATCCAAGGTAAAAAATGAGAGTGAGAAACAGACTCTGTTGCATGTTTATCAGCTACAGGCAGTGCTGGGAGCTGGCTGGCAAAGCCAGCCCTCTGCGTTTTGGGCTCTTTCCACCGTAGATCAGGTTTCAGCTCACAGGTTTTTTAATCTAGCTGACTTTTGAAAGCCTGAGCTCTAGAACAGGTGATTTGCTCTGCTGGGATAGTAACAAGTTCAAGCAAGCCTGGGGTACGTTATCCCTCTAGGATATACTAATTAGCGTACGCAGGAGCGTTAGTGCTTAACAGTTAAAGCGTAGCATGAGGATAACCCTTGCCTTTGCAGATGATCAGCTTTGAAGACAGCAAGATTTTGGCTGGATGTGTTGCTTGAGTATTCTGGTCAGCAAGGTGTGCAGGGAGCCAGGCCATCTGCTCTGTATCTATTTTGATACACTCTATTTATGTTTGAAATATCCAGGTGCTTTTATCGGTCAATTTTTAGCATGTTTCACACATGAACAACGTTGTCTGCACAAAATGTGCAACTCAGTACTTAAAACTGCAAAATCTTTACAGGCAGTTCGCTTAAAATAATTGCCACTGCAAAAAGCCACAGTCTCCTCTTCACTGCTGATATTTTCCCAGAGTTTTCCCAACCTTTCCAAGTACTTTCTGCAATTCAGGAAGACTTATGTTGCGAAACAGTTGCGTGTGATGGAGCCCCGGCTCCCTTAGAGATGACCGTACACTCGGCAGGGGCAGGTGTGGGCATGCCCGCGGCGGGCTGGCGTAGCCGAGGGACGGAGGCACGAGGGAACACTAAACCCGAAGATGTGTTCACACCATTAGCTACTCAGACTTCATTTCTTCAGTGAACTCTTCGGCAGCTGCAAGAGAAGTGCTGCTAACTTGCACCTGGGGAGGTAATAGCTTTGTGGCCAGAATACGGTCATTTTGATCCTACATGATATGTGTATTTTTTTCCAAAGAGCCAAGACTGCAGAGCCCCCCACTCCATCCTAGCCCAAAGCAGGACCGGCTGCCACCACCTTATACTCATTTCCTCTTGCTCTATCCCTTTGAAATCAATTACTTACTGTGGGAAAAGCTCGCAGAAGCAGCAGGTCTAATGTGCTCGCTGCGGTTGGTCTCTCAACACCAGCCACAACCCGTGGTGCCCCCGCGCTGCCCGTGCCCCTCCTGCCCAGGCAAGCGGGCTCAGCCCCGCTGGGGAAGGACCTTCTCCTTCTCTTCTGCACGGTGGAGTGCAAAGCGGAGGTGCAGCCCAGAGCAGGTTAAGGGGGGATTTAAACCAGCTCAAGGGATCGCTAGCCATGCTGCTGCAACAAGCAGTCTGCTTTGCACAAATTAAGTTAGCTGACGGCCACTGTACCCCTCTGGTCGCAGGGCCAAACTGGCTCCTGTTCGCTGGTAGCTGGTTTACCTGTGCTAACATACTGCTCAGCATCTAGAAAAAAACCCCCAAATCTCACCCCTTGCATTTTTTCCAGGAGGTAGGGAATGTGGAGGATAAATAAAATCACAGGGTGAGTGTTTCCTACCCATTTGTTTCTCTATCACCGTGCCTTTTGAGGTGCATGTTACTGCTCCCACCTGTGCTGGGATGGCCTAAGTGATGTTCTGTGTGTCCCAGGAACATTTGCCTCTTGGCCATCACCATTTAAAAAAAATACCTCTTCATAGTCAATTTGGTTTCACTCAAGGGTGAAATCTGCCCCAGTATTTATCTGTTACCAGTTATGCCAGGTGCAGTTTGCTGACCGGTGCCTGACGATGAGCCTGCACTCCCCTGGGTAACACAAAACGCTGCTCCGCAGGGCACGCTCGGCAGGTCTGGGCAGGGGTTGGGGTGAGGAGTTGTCCCCAGCTGGGAGGTGCGGATGGCTCAGCCCGTCTCCCCTACCACGCACGCGGGAGATAGCTCAGCCTAGAATTTAGCTCTAGGTCACAAATGATTAAAATATTTATAAATCCATTGCTGAGACAGAGCAGGTAAAATGTAGTTTAAGAAAAGCTATTAGAACTGGTCTGTCTGCAGGGAAACATCATTTGTCATCTCACGTCCAGGCATTCTTCAGACGTGGTACAGCACTTTGGCCAAAATATGCTCGTGCCTCCTATGGGGGCTGTCAGGGAGCAGAGCGGCTGTGGGGATCCCCTGCGTGCAGGCACTCAGCTCCTTCGGTTTCTTTGAAGATCTAATGGGTAAGGGATGAACACAACATTTTTGATATGGTATTCATTTTCAGAGGGAAGTCTGAAAATATTATTACCAAAATTTAACTAAGAAATGTTTTATTATAGGACATTTAGACTTTAAAAAGGCAGCTATATTAATAAAAACCTTACTAAAGGACACAACAATAAAAATCTAAGAAAAGGAACTGGTAGCTAAAATGCAACAAATGGGATGTCTTCCTGCTCAACTGTTAAAATGTCATATCAAAATGCTAACATCTTCATATTAAGGATGTATGGCATTGACAAATGATGGGACAATCGGCACCAGATATTAACGCTAAAATACAGATTATTCCTGCTGTTAGAACATTCCAGGAGGAAATGCTCTTGCATTTAGTAGAAGGAGGGAATAAAAAGTCATCCTGAAAAAGAATAGTTAAGTCAGGGAGAGCATAAGCTAAGCAGCCCATCCGTTCACATATATAAAGATTTTGACTCAAATCTGGCTTAAAACTAGTAGACAGAGGACGAAATGCTCATGACATGATATGGCATAATATGAGAAGAACTTTTTCAGAAAAGGTTGAAACAATACGTGGCAGTTTTTACTCAGTAGTTATCTGTCTGTAATACTAACTGCAAAACTCTGGAGATATTGTCAGGAGCAGACTATACACAGGTGCAATGTGTGTTACATGGGACTGCCTCCTTCATCAGCACATCGGTTTCAGCCAAGAATTATTCAGGGCTAGAGCCTGAATTGCTCGTTCAAATTAAGAGCATATACAGATTGGAAATAATTAACCCAATCAGGTCAGGCAATTGCAATATGAATTTATGCAACAGGAGCACAAACTTTCTCCAAGTCCCGGCCGTCACCGAGGCAGCTTGATGGCCCCAGTGAAGGAGATTTGATCAGTCATTGGGAAAGTATCGCACAATGAAAAAATACCCTGTCAAGTAAGGGCACAGCCCTCTGGGCTGAGTTTGCATCTAAACACGTCCTTGTCTCCCTGATGTGCTGGGCAGGGAGCAACACTGGCTGCAGAGCCACTGGGTACCCAGAGTCGCTCCCTGCCCCCTCCAGCACCTCCCCACGGAGGGTACGATGCTGCAGCTTTGCAAACTGCCTCCCCTCCCCAGTCAAGAGCAATGGGGAAACCCTAAACCAGCCTGTGAGCGTGCCTATTCCTTGGCCCCTGAGGCACCTGGAGAGAAAGTCCTGTGCTCCCACCTCCCCTGCCACACTCGCAGAGGTACCTGCCTCTCCTCCACAGCTCTACACTTGATAATGCAAATATGCTCCCATCTCTGGTAGCTGAGAAATGGGCTATAAAGAGAAACACATGGGAAAACAGGAGGGACAGCACAGAAGATCAAGGAACATGGGTGGG